GTGTTAGTGGCATTTCGTAATAGCCGTGTAATATTTATGTAAATATGTAACTGTTGCCTACAGCTCATCTAGTCTGCTTCGGCTGTCAGTCAAAGCCTCTTTTGCCACTTGCTTATTTATTCATTTGCATGAATGTTTTCCCAAAGATTTTCATTTCATCTCGTCTCACAATCTGTTTGAGTAGAGAAAACAAAATCTATAGCAAGTGCTTGCCGGCTGCTTAAGGTATGTTAAAAACTCTTTTATCAATAACTTATCTAATTGAATTAGCAAGAAACAGTCTAAATTCAATTTCAATAAGCCCTATTGTCAGGATTAAGACAATGAAGCAATTTCTGGCAATTGTACGAATGCAATTCAATTATTTATGTCTCTTGAAATGTTTTCCTTGTTTTTGGCAAATTGTGTAAAAACGTTTGAATCAAATTCAATTTGGCTGCAATGCAGCATTTGCCAGGACAATCAGATTACTTTCAAAAATAAACTGTCTTGCTTTAATTAAGCCTGTTGTTCATTTCGCACGCTGCGGTCGCAATTCACGCTGCATACAAATTAATTAGCGATTATTCATCAGAGACAATTTAAGTTAAATATTTATTGGTCCTTTAAATGCAATTTAAATGCAACGAGGGCAGTCGCCTTCGCTTCTCGTGCCATTTGAATTGGTAAATAAAAATATCAATGAGAGAGCAAAAATATATTTATAATGATGTAACAGCGTCTGATCGACTTTAAATACCCTGCAAGCTGTATGGAATATGGAATATAAAATTATAAATTAATTTTAAACGTAATTGTCAATAAATGTTCCATTCAATAAAGCCCATGTCATTGATATTAAGACTATATTTAATTATTTTATTCATATTTAAGCTTGACTGCCTTTAAAAAGAACAGTTGAAATTATGCCTAAAACATAATATTATATATATAGAAAAATTTATATGCATCTATAAATATATTGAAAATATTAAGTGAAATATATGTGAGTCTATGCTGCCCGCTTCGCACTTTTTACAGGGCATTACAAAATGAGAAGTGAAATAAGGAAAAACAGAAATTTGCTGCCTGTGCTGCTTGCACACGGCTGCACTTAAAATGTTTGGCACGATGCAGCAGCAACACGCCTATGTTGTGGCCGGTGCCACGCCCACCACAGACGCCCCCAAAAAAGAGCAGCTGCGTTCGCACGTTCGCTGCGTTCCGGTTCAAGTTGCTGCATTGTTCGCACCCACATTGCGCATACGCAGCGTTGCCCTGGCAGCTCTACTTTTTGTTGCCACGCACACAAAACGAAGTAAGTTGTTGTTGTTGTAGCTGCTGCTGCTGAACTGGTCGTGCATTGGTTTGTTTTTGTGTTTGCCTTCGCTGGCTGACACTGTTAAGGTTGCCGGACAAGTGTTGCATACCAAATGCGCCACGAGCTCGCGTCGGTCGGGCAACGTCAGCCAGACACCGCACAGTTGCAACTGGCACTTACCACACGTAGCATACCCCATAAAAGCACTCTCCACCTCATTTGTCAGCCCAAGCTAGCACCATTTGCATGGCACGAATCCTTCGACTTGTCCGCTGTTGTTTCAATTACGTTTTTGCTATATCACAAACTTTTCCATGATCGAAAGTGTTGCATACTTTTTGGCTGCAACAAGAAGTTTCATTAAAGCGAAATGTTAAACGTTCAAGCTGACAATAACTATCTTGGCAATCTCATCAATGCCTCACTTAAGCTTTCAATACCTTGCCACACGCGCAGAGTGGTGGAGGCGGAGGTGTAGCAGCTGTGGAGTGAGCAGCTTATGCATTAGCTACGCTTGCCACAAAATTACTTTTTACGCACACGCACAGCCGTGTGCTTTGGCTGCCACCAAAATTAATAAACAAAAAAGAAAAAGAAGAGGATGTATACACACACACCCACACACACACACATATATATATATATATATATATATATATATATATATATATTTATATAACGCTCAAATGAAGCAGGAACAGAATTGTGCACTTATATTGAATTTTAAGCTGTTAACGATAAAGGCGGCTGGCTCTGAGCCACCGCCCGCTGCCGATAGACTGGCTGCGGCGACCGCGCACAGCATCTTCACCTTGGCTTGTGTTTATTTGCCAACATGTGGCAAAATTATTTCCGCTCAAAAATCCACTTCCTGCATTTCATTTTATGTGCCGCCGTTTCACCATTTTTATTTTGTTTTAAGTAAATTGAAAATAAAAAGAAGAAGTGCGCTCAACATAAATCACGGATTGGCAGTTTTCATACAGCTCTCCGAGCACAGTTGATGTCGCTGCCGCTGACAATGAAGCCCCAGTGCACAAAAAATATAAAAATCAGCGAGAAAAGTGAAACGAATAACAGCAAAAAAGGGCTCCTGCTTCTGTCACATTGTCACAGAATTGAATTAAGTTTCGCTATGAAATTTTTCATTTACTGTCGCACACACTCACACACCGAAGCACACCTGTTGATAAAGCATAGCAAAGGGCAAAAAAAAAAGGAAAAAACAATTGATAAAACTCATGTAAAATGCGGGCAACGTTCGCAGCTTAGCTTTTGGCTGCAGCATCTTATCAACCCTCAACCCCTGACCCTTAACCGGCGCCACACTCTCTTCATTACACATGAAGCGTCTGTCCGCAGCCGCGTAGCTTAGTGTCGCGTGCACACATCACCTGCAATTAAAATGTGAAATCCGAGAATTTTAAAAATGATATTTACATTTCATTCTGCGAATAGGTCAGTGTGGGCGTCCATGTATGCACGTGTCTGCGTGGGGGTGTGTGTGTGTGTGGATTGGATGTGAATGTGGGTGTTGCATTGTGAAGTCCTACTTTGGCAGCAGCACAAGCAGAACGCAACTGAAATAGTTGTGCCCACACAATACCATCAGACTGTTCCCAAAGGGGCAAAGCTGTTCACAGCATGCACGAACTGTACCCACTATTTGCTCTCTTACGCACGCTCTTAACTGTAGTTAAGCCAGGCACGCTACTAACAAACTGAACTGTACCCAGGCAAGCATGAGCTCGCTAGGAACTGAGTTGATAAATAATTAATTAAAAATAATAAAAAATTAATAAATTAAAATATATCAAATAAATTTGACTGTATTTGTTTAAATATAAAAAAGGTTTTAAATGGAATACTTTTTTAGCTCAATAAAAAACATATATATCTATGTATATATGTGTTCCATTAGATCTTCAAGTTTTCACTCCAAAATAGTTTAAAATGTGATTTTAAAATAATTAAATTATTTATTTATTATTTATTTATAGAATTAATTTAATTTATAAATATATATATAAATTTCTTTGTCTACTTTTCATCTCTTCATTAACCATTGCTTAGCTAGGTGATTTGACATGTCGAGACAGCAGACAGCTTTCGAGAACACTTTTCCCCGCTGGGAACACTTAAACTTGCCTATGCCCCTCCAATATTGCAAGTAGATCTGCCTCTCCAAGTTGATCTGAACAATGCACCACATATACAACGCATTTACAACTGTGGAATATTTAGTCAGCAATTGCAATCGACTTATCGAATGTATTTTTTTCACATTTATCATGGTGTTTGGGAAAAACCTCTTTCACGCCTGCGATAGGCGAGCCAAAAGCTAGCCAATTCATTTTGTTTGCACAGAATGTTATCTGGAACTTATTGCGAATGTCATTCCAGAGTATTTATATAGATAAATATACATATGTGTATCATATATATGTATATAGACATATATGTATATACATATATAGATATATACGACATAAAGCATGGACAAAAGCCTATATATTAGAAAGTTCACGTTCAAAACAACAAATGATGCATAAGTTAGAGTATTTATAGGTCGGGTTTTCCCATGCTTTGCCGCTGTTATCTATTTAACACTCAAATTACAGTGTGAAGCGATGCGTAATTGAGTTTGTTTTATTTTCCATTATGATATGTTATAACAAAGGTTGTATTAATTACTCTGCTGTGATTACGCTAGTCGTCATTTGACTTAAACAGGGCCCTCAGCAAATATGTCAAAGGGCTTTGCTCTTTGTAATTAAACACATGTCGATAAAGCACAAGATATAAATATTAATTATATATCCAATTTGAATGTGAGATTTATTTGTGTATCAATAATAGTTTTGCCCATAAAGATTACTTAATTCTAATAAATTATATACTTATTTTTATATAATATTTATTATGTTTAAATATTTTTTAATTTTAAATTAATTACACAGTTTATTTTTATTCAGTTTTTTTTGGTTTTAAAGAAAAGTGCAGAATTTTTTAACTAAATCGTCAGATAAACATGAAGTCATAGAGAATTTACTCAAATTTGGTATTAGAAATGTGCTTTAGACCCTGCTCTAAGACAGTTTTGGCTTGATTGTTTTTTTGTAAATCACAAACTTTAAAATGTATAAAATAAAATTAAAAATTTTTTCTTTTTAAACAAAGAAACCTGTCAAATGCCACAATGAGTATAAAACAAATTTTAAAATAAATTAAAATTGACAAAAATGTTGGACTCGAATTCCTCATTTAAATTGCAAAATAAAACTCAATTAAATAATTATTAAACAGAGAATTTGGCCAACATTTAATACACCTTTGTTTGGCAATTGCAAAATGCAAATCGCATCATTAAATTTAATTATTTTAGCTTAACAAGCGTAAAGCAAGTCTAGATAAATAATTGTTTGGCTTGACTAAAGTGCAATTAGATTTATATATATATATATATATATATATATGTATATATATATATTTATTATAATTTTGCACATTAGAAAACTCCCATCCAAAAATGATACAGAATTATTTGCTTTGGTTTGTTTTATTTATAATATTTATTTTACAGTGCGAAACGATTAGTTAGACTTTTTTTTACACTTTTTCTGTTTTATATTTTTTTTGTTGTTTGTATAACTTGTTTTTCTTTATTGAAGATATATATTATAGAAGATATATAATATATATAAATATATATATATTAGTTGGTTAATGCAAAGTATAGGAAAATAATGGTCGTAGTCGAACAACATTTCAATAAGCATGGAGGCAGTGCTGCAGGCCAGCAGATTAGCTGCTCATTGCTTGTCCTTGCCCTCGGCCTTGCCCTTGTCGTTGCCCTTGCCCTTGCCCTTGTGGCCATGCTTGTCGTGCTTGTTGGAGCTGTTATTTGACGGCGGGGCCGAATGCCAGAACAGATCAAACGAGTTAAAAGCTGAAGAATTTGGGTCGAAGCCATCAGATAGCCATTTTTCGGCACTGTGACGAGGATGGGGTCCATGATGGGGTCCATGATGGGGTCCATGATGGGGTCCATGATGGGGTCCATGATGGGGTCCATGATGGGGTCCATGGTGGGGACCATGATGCGATCTATGATGGTGTCCATGGTGAGGCCCATGATGAGAGCCACGATGGTGACCGTGTCCGTGTCCATGTTCACGACTCTGATCCTTATCGTTAGCAGATTTAGATCTAGACCTAGAACTGGAGCTGGAACTGGAGCTGGAGCTGGAGCTGGAGCTGGAGCTGGAGCTGGATTTGGAGCGGCTCACTCGACGCTCATGGTGACCACCCGTGTGGCCATCTCCGTGTCCGTGTCCGTGGCTGTGGCTGTGGCTGCGCTTGTCTCCCCTGTCTCCCCTGCTGTGATGGGCGCCATGTTTGCCACGTGAAGCACAGCGCGACTTAGATCTCGATCGGTGTCTCGGCCATGCCATGCGCGTCTCCTGAGCCCACGGCAGGTCGCCGTTCCGAAAAAACTGCTGCTCCATCATTGGCCAGGGGCAGCCACCGAAGCCGCCTCGGGCCATAAAATTGTGGGGTCCAAAGTGATGGGGACCGAAACCGTGATGGGGGCCATGACCGTGATGGGGACCATGGCCGTGATGGGGACCATGGCCGTGCCTATGGCCATGATGTCCATGCCGGCGCCAGTGCGAAGGCGACCTGGAACGCTCGCGTCGGCCATGATGACGATGGCCATGTCGTCTAGGCCAACCATAGCAGCCGCGTCCAAAGTTCTGCTCCGAGCCGGAGCTCGAGCTGCTGGAAGAGCTGCTCGAGGAGCTCGAGGAGCTGGAGGAGCTCGAAGAGCTGGAAGTGGAGCTGACACTGTTGGAGCGGCTGCGTGGCTGCTCGTTTTGATCCTGGCTCTGGTTTGGCTGCTCCTTTTGCTGCTTCTTGGCCTGTTTCTTGGCCTGCTTCTTCAGCTGCTTCTTCTCGCGCCTTCGCTGCTTCTTGGCCCGCTTGCACTGACGCCTCTCGGCCTTGGCCTGCTCGGCGGCCAGCTGCTCCATGGCCTGCTGCAGCATGCGCTGCGCCTTGTACGCCTTCTTCATGGCCTTCCTGATGAGCTTGTTGCTCCTGTGCGGCACCGGCGGCTGCGAGGACTGCGGCTGCTCCTCCTCGAACTCAATGTCACAATCAAGGACCTCTTCCTGAGCGTCCAGCAGCTGCTCATTACGCTTAGCTGACTCAGCCATGTTTGAGAAATATGCTTCGCTTATCCTTGTGATGTTTTCGAATAACAATTGCAAGACTTCTTAGATGCGATTCAATTGGTTCTCTTGCGCTGTATCCCTGATTCTCTTTCTTTCTCTTTCTCTCTTGCTCTTTGAGTGCCCCAGAAAGCTTCAAGCTGCCAACTGATGTTGAACGCTTGCCGGCCGGCAACTTTTATACGCGTCGCTCAACGTTTGCAAACGTTTAACGCTGGCAGCGACGCCAACAGAAAGTGAGAGAGAGAGAGACAGGGAGAGAGCGAGAGCGAGATAGTGGGCGAGAGCGAGCTAAAGATAAGGATGGCGAGGGAGAGCGCTCACGCTTGACTGAGTTGTGGAGCCAGCTAATGCGTCGCAGCCAAATCGCGAGAGCTCTGGCTAAAAATAGCAAGTTTTCATGTAAACAGCTACACACACACACACACACACACACACACACGCACACATGCGTAATAAACAAGTGCAATTATATACACCTTCTCGGTTATAGACACCCATTTCTGTGTTTACCTGATTTTCTGTTTCACAATATGGTGAAATATGCAAGAGAACTTTCAAACAACCCAATGAATCAGCCAACTCGTTTTTTTGCTTTTCTTATGAAATTCCACACAAAGTTTTTCTAGTTCTAGATTCTTCTATAGATATAGATATAGATGAAGAGCTCTGGCTCTGCAAGCTTAAAAATAAAGATCAATGTAATGCTCCACAGCTCCAAAAGCGAAACCGTTCATGCACTAATTGAACTGGTTCATGTTCATGTTCGTGTTCATAATCAAGCTCATATATATTAACTGACAATCAACATAACGCTCCACAGCCACAACATATTGTACATTGGGCTATTCATGCATTAGTCAATTCAATGTCATTTGTCAGCAGTTGAGGTTAGGTTGAAAAATTGAGGTTATGCTGAATGTTTAGCTCTTTTTGCATACAATTTACTATATATATTCACTTAAATTGATCCGCTTTAGGCAACATTTCTTTTGTTTACTTTATTTCATCGCAAGCTTTGAAGCAGTTCGAACTAATTCAAGCTTCAGTAGCATTTTATTGCTTTCATTTAGATTTAAGGTCACACTGTTTTTAATTTTCGAACACTTATTCAGATAGGATTGAATCTTCGCATTTGGTTCTCATTAACTTGCAACCTCAAAAGTCCTCAAAAGTTGCAAAGAAAACAAAATATAGTAAATTATATTGAGGGATTCAGGGCACACACTGATGTAACATGTAATACAAAGCCACCCACTCGATCCTCGCTTACAAATACATATTTTCATGAGGTCACTTCACAGCTTGAATCATATTTGGGAAACATAATCATTTCCCAAACAAAGTCTTCAACTTATAACTTTGTAATGTATTTCATTATAGCACAACTAAGTATATAATAAAGGGGACAGATGAAGGTTCTTCAATACTTTGGCTGCACTTGATTATAGGGCCAACAGCTTGGGTGCACTGCAGCTGAGAGACTGAACAACACAATCTTTCAAGATGGTTCGGTTGCAGCTTAGAGAACTTATATATATTTAGAGAACCATATATATATATATATTTATATATAGACTGTCTGTGAATCAGAGGCTCAGTTTCAGACACTACAACAAACACACATGGATAGATCAATGCATCTATTACGGTACATGCTAAGCACATTAAAAGCTACTCATTTAAAAGTATCTGTATATATATGTATGTATAAGTTAACTTATAACACTTAGTTAGCTTATAACACTTAATATAAGGTATTATTCAACACTTATTATCGGGTGCTAGACAAGTTAAGGAACAGCCCTGGCAAGAGCAACTCTACTTACGCCGGTGAGGCTATGATTTGTAAAAATATAGATCAGTCTCGTGTTTTAACTCGTACTGATAGGACATGCTAAAAATTGGTGTCACATAAGTAAAACTAAAAATAGTGAATATAATAAGAAAAACCAATAAAATTAACTGTTTCGATTATTCAAAAAAGAACAATTAAAAGCAGGGTTAAAAAGCGTTCTTCCAGTAAACCGCTTAAATAAATATTCACTCCGTCATTTGCTCGTTAAATGGCTTATTTCATTGTCTGAGCCCGAGGCCAGCAATAAGAGGCACAGTCGCCTCTCAACCTAACTTTCAGTCACCACAGGACTGGAAATCATATAATTGGCGCCCAACGTGGGGCCGGACAGAACACTTATCGCATTAGTGCCAGAAAGAAGCTATACGCACAGGTCTCTCCGAGCAGCAACAGCAGCCAGTGCCAGCTGTTGATCCCTTCCAAGCACCGCCATATCCCACACAGCCATCGGCAGCGGCGGCAGCAGCAGCATTCGAGCAGCCTGCACCACCAGCCGTTCAAGAGGAACGCAAGAGCGGTGGTCTCTTCTCACTCACTAGTCTAGTGCCCACTGGCGTGTTACAGAATATTTCGGGTCTAGTGCAATCGGCCACAGGCAGAACCAACGAACCTGCGCCACCCCCACCAGCCAGCTACAATCCAGCTGATTCTGGTGGCTACTTTGACATAAGCACATCCGGCGCTGCCGTACCGCAGCCGCCTGCAAACTTTTTTACGCCTGCAGCTCCGCCTGCTGCTGCTGATTATTTTTCGCCCACTGTAGCACCACCCACTGTAGGTGGTTACATCAATCCTTCCGTAGTTGCTGCAGCTCCGTCTGTTGGTAACTTCTTTACGCCAGCACCAGCTGTTTCTGGGCAATCAACCGGTGTTCAGCCAACGCCAGCCGCGGTACCACCGACATTTACTCAGCCTGGGGCAACTGCTCCGCCAGCGACATACGCTCAGATTCCGACAGTCACCCAAGTAGCCACTGTCCCTCAGCCACTGACAGCTGCTCAAGCACCTGGTTTAATCGAGAGTACTCCAACGTTTGCACCGCCATCAGTGGCTGCAGCAACTCCCCCACCAGCGGCAGTAGCAGCACCACCACCAGCGGCAGGACCTGCACACTCCTCGTACCGCCTGCAGAAGGGTACCAGACTCTACAAGAGTCCACTGACAGCTCAGGAAACTGCAGTGCCCGCAACAGGCTTTGGCCAGCAAACAGCTTTAACAGCCACGCCCTTTGCACCCTTCGCAGCACCTGCTGCTATTTTTAATCCTTTTGGAGCACAGCCTACAGAAGTTGCCCTATTTACAGCGCCAGCTCCGTCAGCTGCACCAGCGCCAAGCCAGGAAGTTCCTCTGTTGCGGCTGCACCACCCCCAACTGGGCCAGCAACATCGCTGTTTACACCACAGGCATCGACGGGCCTCTTTCAGACTCACGAAGCAACTACATCGCTTTTTGCACCAGCACTATCCGATACACTTCAGGAGGTTCCTCTCTTTTCCAGTCCGACTAACGCAACACAAGGACTTACACCAGATACAAGCAACAACCTTTTTAAGTCACCGACTCAGAGGGAAGAGCTAAAGAGCTCTTCAAATCAAAATCAGGAGGTTACACTATTTGCACCACCGTCAACTGCACCTGTTTCGGAAGTTCCATTATTCCCAACATCACAGAGTTTGCCCATATTTTCACAAGGACCAGCAACAGCTCTATTCGCACCACAGTTGGATGCTAAGCCAGAACCACAGCAGGCAAATCTACAAGCGGAATCGTTGAGGAAATCCCCTTGTTCACGGCACCACCACCAACAGTAGAAGCAACAACTAACGAGTTCTTCGCGGCGGCAGAGCCAAGCGACTCTTCATCCATACTAGAACCAAGTCAAGAAATCCCCAAAACACCGCCAACTGCATTAATTCAAGAAGTTTCACAGCCACAGGTTGCTCCAACCGCTGTCCATCTCTGTCGGCACCTTCCACAGCTGCCGGCTCATCCTCATCCTCATCGGCAGCGGCGTCACGTCAACTGCAGCGGCCGGCATTGTCGGCAGTTGCCGCACGGCAACAGCAGCTACTGCTGAACGGCTCGCTGAAGAGCAAGACGAAGACATTTCCTGCGTATCGAGCATCGGTGCGCAGCGAGAGCGACGACAAGGAGTACAGGGCGCCTAGCAAAAAGTCGGCCGGTGTCGCAGTCGCTGGCAGCCAAGATCAGCGGCAAGAACTGTAACAATCTGCTGCACAACGCCGGCAATAAGCTAAGCGTGAGCAGCAACTCCTTCGGCCTATACGCAGCATCTGGCATCATCGCCCAAGAGCCCTGTCTCCAGCAACGGCCATCTGAACAAATACTGCCTGACGGACTTGACGCGCCGCAAGGCCGAATTCAATCGCCAGCTGAGCGCGCCGACAGACTACACACATCACTCGTCCAGTAACGGCTCATAGCATCGCTGGAGTGGTGGGACACAGTCATCACGGCCATCACGGGCACGTGCACGGCCAGTCATCGACGGCGCCAGCCACACTCAAGTCGCTGCAGCTGCACAACTTTGGTGTGCATCATCCGATGCCAAGGCTCACGTCCACGTCGGGCACCAACAGCTTCAACAGACGCCACATACGTAGGCGCAAGAGCAAGCTTAGTAAGCGCCTGCTGAACGGCGATAGCGAAGAATCAGTACGCTGCTCATACTGCTCCGTATTGAATGTGAATGAGAACGACTTGCGGATTTCATTCGAGAACACCTGCACCGACTCGCTGGTCACCGCTGCTAATATGCGACCAAGGAACCGAAATGGTGCACTTTGATGATGTGTCGTTGTACGGCACTCCGAAAGAGGAGCCATATGCTGTGCTTTAATCTGCATTGGCCTCACTCTTTGGTGGATCATCGACGCAAAGAAGTCCGCGAAGCACTTGCGAGGAGTCGTCGCTGGAATTGGGTCGGTCGAGGACGACCTTACACTTGAGGGGGGGGTAGTTAACTTATAACACTTAGTTAGCTTATAACACTTAATATAAGGTATTATTCAACACTTATTATCGGGTGCTAGACAAGTTAAGGAACAGCCCTGGCAAGAGCAACTCTACTTACGCCGGTGAGGCTATGATTTGTAAAAATATAGATCAGTCTCGTGTTTTAACTCGTACTGATAGGACATGCTAAAAATTGGTGTCACATAAGTAAAACTAAAAATAGTGAATATAATAAGAAAAACCAATAAAATTAACTGTTTCGATTATTCAAAAAAGAACAATTAAAAGCAGGGTTAAAAAGCGTTCTTCCAGTAAACCGCTTAAATAAATATTCACTCCGTCATTTGCTCGTTAAATGGCATATTTCATTGTCTGAGCCCGAGGCCAGCAATAAGAGGCACAGTCGCCTCTCAACCTAACTTTCAGTCACCACAGGACTGGAAAACATATAATTTATATATATATATATTTATATATATATATATTATAATTTATGTATTATGCAACCACTGCGCACTCGTTGTTATAATTTCAGCACAACATGAACAAAGCAAAAACAAAAAAATATATGTAGTCAGTCTGAATTGAACTGTATACGTTGCCCACTGCAGTAGAGGAACAACGTACCACAAACGTTTGCCTCGGTTCAGCTGGCGTCACTTAATGAAATCCCCCTGAAGCGGACCGAGGCCCCAAAGCCCCATAAGCTGACGGCGTCAGTGTGCGAGCGGTGGGAGCGAGAGTAAAAGAGCGATTGAACGAGAGACGCACAGATTGACAGAGAGAGAGAGAGAAAGAGAGAGAGGCAGAGCTACCAAAAGATTAACTCGAAAAGTGTGCAAAAAGCTTTGGCTGTATAACTGTGCATACTAGATAGCACAAAACTGCCTACAGTAGCGGCCATAAAATTCGAACTAGCTCTTTCGCTTTGCTTGTCGAGCAGTTTCATAGGTATAGAAGAGTTAAAGGTAATATTGAGTTGCCAAAATATTATATATAAATTAATTGAAATAATAAAAATTAATTTTAATTTTAAATTAAATGTTTTACCTATTAAGAGCTGTAAAAAAACCTAATTTTATTTTCTTATATTCTATAATATTACATATAGTTTTATTTCATTTACATTTCTCGGATCACAATCATTAAAATTCATTTGAAGTGCGCTGCTTATTTCGTACGCCACTGTAGATTGAGCCACATGCACATCCCTTCAAATATGTACAGAGCTCTTTCTGGCTATTGGAGCAACTGAATAAGTCATATGCCGCATATGAGCTTCAGATTGGGCAGGTTCTGGCTGTTGCGGCAAAAGCGTTGCCAGCCATTCCAGTGGCGGAAGCCCTCGGCAGCTTGAATGCGTTTCGCACAGGCCGCAGATTCTCGTCGAGCAGGTCTGGAATGGGGCAGAGCGTTCAGAATTGAATGGGCAGAGCAGGCCAAGCGAGGCTCACCTTCACACTTGACATTGCAAACGCCGCCACGTCGACTCTCCTGGCAGTAGCGTCCATTGATCTGAAAGAGGCCATAGCTGTGCGAGCCATTCGGATTCGTGGTCAGCTTGGCCGTCTCCAAGTCGCTCTCATGCTCCAGCAGGCATATCCCTGAAAGTGGAGAACTGAAGTCTTCGCACTGGCAACTCGCCCCATCCGCAGTCACTCACAATTGCTCAGCAGGCTGCGCTCGAAGCTGTGCTGCTCGAGCAGCTTCCTGGCCAGCTCGCAGCGCATATAGCGCTTGCTCAGCACCTGAGCAACGCCTCCCAAGCAGAGCCACAAGCTCACGTAGAACAGTGCAAGCACTGCCGATCTCATATTGCGACTGCCAGCCGGCTGTGCTCAAGCTTGAACTTGATCTCTGTTGCTGCTGCTGCTGCTGTAGACAATCGATTGCTGATAAGCCACATTTTGCGTTGTTCCAAGTGCGATGCTAACAGATCTAATTGCCGGCGGGCCTAATGGGTTCGCCGTTGGCAGCAATTCGAATGCAATGCAGTGTCTATAGAATTAATCATTAATTGATTTAGCGCTAAGTTGATGTAGCTGCTGCTGCACACTCTGTACCTTAAGTAAATCTTATCCAAGATGAAGTAGAGCTGAGTTGTTTTTAAAAAGAAAACATGTTTCGGGCAATACCCTCTATACATTTAGCATAGGGCATATTGCAGTTGACACTAGTAGAGCGCTTTAGCTCAATCAATCGCCATTCGAATACGAATACGAAAATCATTGCAGACTTCGTCATATACTTTGACCTGATTGATTATACATATATATAAATATATATATATATATAATCTATATCTTTATATGCAGCTAAATATGATTTGATTTTTTGTAAACGCTTCAGCTCAGCTCTTGGTAAGAGGCATCTACCAGTTGAGCTCACTCGACTGAGGTATTTTAACTGGTTTCTGCTAGAAATCACACAGGTAAAAAGTGCTGAAAACTTTTTCAGTTTCTAAGTTTATTCAAATAAGTTGAACATATTTCAATAAGCCAAAATCCACAATAAAAAAATATAGAAAAATTTAAAAAGTTGTGGTAAATGTGAAAATAATGTAAATATCTAACATATATACTTTTCTATATATATACATTGTATTATGTAACTTAGTGAAACTAATTACTATTTTTTTGACAACGAACATTTGGGAATATTGAGATTATTGGGAGTATATTTGGAAAAAATATGTCAATTTAAATATTCGTTTCATTTTTATCAGGTCTCATACAACAAAAAGCTCAAAAATGGTTTACTTATTATGAAAGCTTCAGAGCTTAATCTAACAAAATATTTATTCTAATACGGCTCCTTAGCTTTTCACCTCAGCGAAGCTCGAAGGCTTAACGAAAAATAAACTTATCGAAAGTGTAGACACAAACCACTAAAAAGCACGAAGCTAAGACATAAGCCAGTAAAAAGCTCATAGCTAAGACACACCTAAGACATAAACCACTAAAAAGCTCATAGCAAAGACACAAACCCTGCTGTATATATGTATGTAAAACAAAGTTTTACCGACTGCAAGATACACTGTAGTTGGTTGACAGTTTAATAGCTTCCAGGGCAGTAACGCGCGCGGAAAAAATTATTATTTTATCTTTAATCAATAATATTTGATTTCTACATATAACTGATTCCAAAAAAAAAATGATATATTTTCGTTTCATATATGTGCGGCCAAAATTAGGTAAAAATCTACAAGCCAATATACTCTTTATCACTAAGGAACAGAGTATTTTTGAAGAGAGCGGAAAATAAACTCACGAGCCGAAATAATTTCGAAAGTTAAACTCGCCGATCGAAAAAATATTATTGCAGCCGAAATATGAAGAATTATTGAGAAAATTTTCAATCATATGAAAATTCAGAGAATTTTCTACCGTTTGCAGTATAAACTGTATTCAATCCAAGGCAGCAAACAAGTTTAAATTGAATATTAAAATTTCTCTCTTGTGAAAAATTTGAATTTTTTTTTTATTTCTAACGAATTTTCACCTGTTTTCAATACGAAAAAATACGACGATGTTATGTTTCAGCTTTAAAGCTTATTTTGCTCATGTTTTCATAAGCCAAATATTTTATTTTTGAAAAAAAAAATATTTTTTATATTAGTAAAAATAAAAAATATATATGCAAATATATTTATTTATATTTAAAAAAACTCTCACAAATATACGAATTTAGGATTTGAAATTAATTTTTGAATTTTATGATCATGTGACCTGTAAATCCTTTTCATAAGTAAATTGCTTACTCTAAAAATCAAGTATAAGTTTCTAAAGTGATAATATCCATTTTATAATTCATCTAATTCACATATATATCATACGATTCACATTTCAGATAATCTTTTAAAATACTGTGAGCGATCTTAGCGTCGAGTCGATATTTATTCATAAATATTTGAAGCCAGCTTTGGTTATACATATTTCAGTACGTAGAAAACTTTACTTATTATTCAAATATATTTTCTATATAATGCGTAAGCATAGTTCAGTTGAATTGGGCTTGCAATGAGATCTGCTGCTGATAGAACTGGGGAATTCTTGAAACAGCCATGCAAACAACCCGCTCACATTTCGAGTGCTCAATGTTATCAGTTGGCTCATTTGTAATAATCAGCAAATATTTGACCTGAGGCGTGCCTAAATGTGTAAAGCTTCAATAAATAATTATTTATTTGTTATTGTTTTTCTATTATATTATATCGGCATTCAAATCTTGAATATTACGTACAGTTGGGGGACTCGAATTCAAAACTTTTGAATTCAAATATTTTCGAAAAGGAAATTCTTCAAGCTTTATAATGGATCTATGCACAGGGTGTCAGTCAAGCTTAAGGCAAATATATAAATTTCATACAACAATATTTATTTTATGATCAGAAAAAATTAAAAAGAATTTACCAAATCTGTACATTTAAACATAATTAGATATATTACGATATTTTCGCATTATTTTAATAATATTTATTAAATTTTTTATATATATTTTAATTTTATATTTTATATCTTTAAAAATTTGACTATATTTTTTTTAGATTTTTGAATATATTTATATATGTATTGATATATTTATTTATAATATAAAAATCAACTTTTTTTCCTTTTTTTTCATATAGCAATATTTTTTTATCAACCTATATTTTCGCTAGAATCCTTAAATTTATTTATTATAATTTCGAACGAGCTTAACTCAAAATCGAAAATTTTTCGAACAAAAAGTTGTGAGAATATTTTCCACTCTGCATATCTACGAACATATATACAGTTTTTCGAACTCGGATTTTCCTTCACACACAGACATTTTATCGATTTACAGGGATGCTATCAAAACTCTAGATATATCCTAACTTATTTAAAATTTTTGCGATAGTAATAAAAGTTATTTATATTTATGTTTTACTTTGATTTGCACAGATTTTAACAGGTCCCAGGCTATGTCTACAGATGGAATAAAACCTTACGAAGATCTATTTTCAAAATTTGATTGTAATATCTGACAGATTAAATAGGAAAATCAGCTTTTAGCTAAGCGGAAAATAGTTCTTAACAATATCTTCAATGAGATTGCTGAGGTATTTATGGCATAGGCTATTTTAGGCAAAACTGTTTCAAAACAATAGTTACTTATTTAATTCAATGATACAGATTAATACTTTTCAAATATATTGCAACAGAACTGCCATCTCTAGATGCGAACTAGTTCTCCTTATTACGTGGATGGTTCCAGTGCAAGCGAAGCTTTTGCAGCAGCCCTTAAAGCACATATAGAGCACCTGCTGCTGCTACACACACACATAGAGCTACACACACACATAGAGCTACACACACTCATACACACCCACTCACATAAAGCCGCACACACACATGAATTTCCATCCCCTGTGGCAAGTGGCAGTGGCGTTTCGCACTTAATATCGATTCGATGGGGAGGCGCATGCGCCGTCTGCCGTAAGCTGTGGTTCGAGGTCGAAGTCGATGGCAAAGTTCCGAGTCCGAGAACCGAGAACCGGGAACCAGGAACCGAGTCCGCCAAAGGCAACGAGTTATCCGTCCAACCAGCGCCAGTTGCAGTCGTTTGTGAGCGTTCGCAGCGCTAGGTACTCATCAAGTTTCCTGGTGCATTCGAAGCATTACTGTGACTGAACAGCACAAGGTTGTCAACCTGCTCACACACATACACTCACACATATACAAAAGACAGAGAGAGAGAGAGAGCGAGAGGCAGACAGAGAGAGCGTAAGATAAAGAGAGGAAGGCAGCTAAAGGACTTGAGCGAGTGCCAGTTACGATTTCTACAAGCCACAAAGCAGCAGACAGAGAACGAGAAAGAGTGAGAGAGAGAGAGAGAAAGAGAGTAAAATACTAAATTTTTTTTGCTCGTGTCTTGTGTCGGCATTAAAATTGTTGTTGTATTTGATTATGTTTTTTTTTCGAGTGCGTGTCGAAATCAATGAACGAGAAACACATAAACAAAGTGCAAAGTAAAAGGCTGTGAAATAAAGCAAAACACAAAAGCAAAAAGAAAAAAAACTAGAAACAAATTTATTTGTTGTGCAAAAAAAGAAACAATTTTTTTTCTCTGTCTTCGATTTAAAATTTCGGTTTTTTTCTAGTGGCGCAAGGAGTGAACGCGAGAGAGAGAGAGAGAGAGCGTGTGTGTGTGTGATTCTGTATGTGCTTGTGCGTGCGCAGTTCATCCAGATGAAACCAGAGAGTGAGCGAGAGTGGGCGAGAGAGAGAGAGAGAGAGTGGCTAAATGTGGGTTGTGCTAGCGACGTAAAACTGTAGTCCAACTAACTGCAGCTGTTTTTCTATGAGTAGCAACTGCGAATAGTCTTATCCGAATGGGCTTATTGCCGAACTCCTAACATACAGACCAGTCACATATGCATACATATATAGGGTATAAGTAAATCGACTCGATTCAGTCTTGAGCCAGGGTCTACGCAGAGTTATGTGCAGTTAGTCGAGAGCAGCGAGTGTAGACCATAGCGAGTGGCGAGAAGTCTCCAAGTAGAGAGTTGAGTGTAGAGTCTTCCACTCTCTCTCTCTCTCCCTCTCTCTCTGTCTCGATTGTTCTCTCATATATGCTCTGCTTATTTGACGCGAGCTTCTACTACGTTCTACAATCAAATACTACTACGCACACACATACATACACACACGCACACACGCACACATACACACACTATTCCGCTGCATAGTTTTTTGGGAGCAGCGCAAAGAATCGAGCAACATCAACAACAAAAACTTTGATCGTTGGTTGCGCTTTCGCTTCTTTGCGCCTCTCCTTTGCTATTATCATTCTTAACGCCATTTGC